TTCCATTATTTTTCATTTTCTCATATTAATATTGTTCCCTTCTTGCCTTTTCCCTATCCCTCCCATTTCCCCTTCCGCTTTGTCCCTTTTCTTCCTATTTCACTCACCTACTATATCTTTCAGTTCTTATTTACATTTTCAATTTCTCATGCTAGAGAAACTATTCAGTATTTACACAGATGTGTCCTATTTATATCACTCAAGAGTATGGCCTCAGTGTGTCTCCAGAGCTGGAGAAAAGTTTTTCCCACCTTGTGGGTTGTTTCTTCACACTGTTGGTGCTTTCTCTGGCTGTGTAGAAGCTCTTTAATAAGAAGACATTCCACTTATTGATTATTTGTGCTAGTCATTGGCAACTGAGGTTTTGTTCATGAATCTTTTCCTGCACCAATGTCTTCAAGAGTTCTACTTATCCTCTCTTACAACCAGTTCAGTGTTTCTGTTTTAATATTTAGGTCTTTAATCCATTTTGATTTTAGTTTAATGCTTGGTGAGAGATATAGGTCTAGTTTTAATCTTTGGCAAGTTGAAATCCAGTTTTTCTAGCACTATTTATTAAAAAGGCTATCTTTTCTCCAGTGTTGGTGTTTGGCTCCTTTGTCAAAGATGAAGTGTCTGGAGTTGTTTCTTCATATTGTAATCTGTTCCACTGGTCCTCAGGTCTGTTTCTTTGCCAGTACCATGCTATTTTTATCACAGTAGCTTTGTGTTATAGTTTTGAGTGAGGGATTGTGATACCCCCACCTTGTCTTGATTGCCTAGAATTTCTTCTGCTATTCTAATTCTCTTCTTGTTCCAGATTTTGGCTTGTTTTCTCAAGTTCCAAGAATATGCTTCTGGGATTTCAATTTGGATTCCAGTTTTGGAATTATGGCCATTTTCACTATGTTGATTCTTCCTATGCAGGAGCAAGGGATATCTTTCCATTTTCTGATATCCTCCTCAATCTCTTTTTTCAGAGTGCTGTAGTTTTCAAAGTAGAGTTCTTTGACTTCTTTTGTTAGGCTGATTCCTAGGTATCTCAATTTTTTGGATTGTATTGTGAAATGAATTGATAGCCCCATTTCTCTCTCAGTGAGTATGTTTTTGGATACAGAAAAGCTATTGATTTTTTGTGTGTTCATTTGTATTTGCTTTATATACTTGGGCACACTAGTGTTTGGTGTATGTGTATTTGTGATTGTCATGTCTTCCTGTTCAATTGTTCCCTTTACAAGGATGTAGTGTCCTTCTTTTCATCACTGTTGGTTTTAAATCCACTTGACCTATAAAGAAGATAACTACTCCTGCGTTTTTTTTGTGTGTGCCTGTGTTCCTCTCACATAAAGTATTGTTTCTCACCCCTTAACTTTCAGTCTATGAGTTTCTTTTTGAATTAAGTGTGTTTCTTGTATGCAGCACATTGTTGGGTCTTACTTCTTGACCCACTGTTCCGCTCTATTTCTTTTGACTGGTGAATTGAGACTTTAACATTGATGCTTATAACTGATATGTATGGATTTATCCTTGTCATGACTTTTTCTTTTTGTTGTATTCTTCCCCTTTGCATTTAATTTCTTGTCATGCCTGATGGATTCATTCTGCTGAGCTCCCTGGGGTTGTGATCCTCACTGTCATTTTCTAGGATATTAAAAATATTTTTTTAGAGTTTTAGTTTGGTATTCATGAAGTTCATAAAGGTGGTATTTGTCATGAAAATATCTTATTTCTCCATCACTTTTGAAAGATAGTTCTGCAGGGTACACCAGTCTGGTTCCAGAGGCTGTTTCCCTTTAGGGCTTGAAATATATCACTCCAAGCTCTTCTTGCCGTTTTTCTTTGTGATGAGAAGTGTGCTTTGCTTTTGATGGGCTTTCCTTTGTATGTGATTTGTTTCTTTTCTGTAAGTGCTTATAGAATTTTGTTCTTCCTTTGGGTTTCTGGAATCTTAACTATTACATGTCTATGTGTAGATTTTTTTTTTTGATCAAGTCTAGTTGGAGTCCTATATGGCTCACTTATCTGTCTGTCAAATTGTTTTCTGCTACTCGGGAAGTTTTCTGCCATTACTTCTGTGAACAGTTTTTTTATGTTGTCTGCACTCTCTCCTGTTTCTTCATAGACTCAGATCAGTCTTATGTTGTTCTTTGCTTCATGCAGCAGCTGCTGGATTGATTTCTCATGGTCCCTTACTATTTTAAAGAAACTTTTCTATTCCTTGTCACTAATTGCAATCTTATCTTGTATATCTGAAAGTATGTCTTAGCAATGGCTCATTCTGCTGCTTAAAGCTTAAATGGAATTTTCAATCTCCAGGAAATGTGTTTGCATGTTTTATGCATTCCATTAGTTTCCTCTGTTGGGATTCCATCATATTCCTCAGTTTTTATCTGTGTCAGCTCTAGATTTAGTAATCTTGACTTGCGCTATGGGCACAATCTCTGCTGTTATCTGATAATTTGTTTCTGAGTTCATTTTTTTCTAGATGTTCTTTTGTTGCCAGTTCAGGGAGTCCAGGTGGTTGAGTTTCAGATTGTTCCATATTGTTTCCCTTTGGGGTTGCCTTAGGTGATCTGGAAGTCTAGTTTTGCGGCTTGTTTCTGTGTCTTTTCATTACAACAAATAGGAGCATGCTATGCCTTTATCAAGACAACTCTTTGCTGACCCAGTGTTCTTCAATTCTGAGCAATCATCCAAGAGGCATTTTCTCTGCTGCTCACCAGAACACCAATTCCTGGATTCAAACAACTGATGCTATGGTGCGTACCTGTGACTGAAGCTTGTTGTCTGTGCATCACTTTCTTGGGTAGGCCTCAGCTGGGTTGGTTTGCCTGAGAATTTCTGGAGTTGGGCACATCTATGTCTGGGACCTGGCTATAGCCTTTGCCAGTCTGAACCACACAACTGGTCCCCAGGATCTGCACACACTTACAGATGCTATGGGGTGGGTCTATGATTGAAGCTTGTATGCATGTGCAGCTCTTTTCTGGGCAGGCCTTGACCAGGTGTGTTAGCCTGTGAGCCTCTGAGGTTGGGTCATATCCCTGGCTGGGATCTGCCTGCAGCAGATCAGGTCTTGACCACACCTCTGTTCCTTGAGATCTGCCTGTGTGCAGGTTTTTGGTCTCGACATGTTTTCAACTCATTTGAATAAGTAAAAAAGTATGTAATTGCTGGATTGTCTGGGAAGAGTGAGTTAAGTTTTATAAAAATTACCAAACTAAAAATAAATACCAAACTGTCTTTGAAAGTGAATATACTGTTTTGTATTCCAACCAAAAGTCAGGAAGAATTCTTATTGTTCCTTATTCATTCCAGCATTCAGTATTATTGGTGTGCTGGATTTGGGCCATTATAATAGCTGCATAGTGGTATCTTGTTGTGGTTTTCATTCCCATTTCCCAATTGTACCAGCAGTATACTCTACTACCAAAGTCAATTTGGTCACTCCCAGAAGCACAGTGGAAATTTCAATCGGGCTTGATCTGCTAGGCATTCAGCTCTGCTACTCAGCCTGGCAGCTCATCTTAATGCCCTGCCTAGCATGGAAGACTGACACCATAGTGCCCTTTGTAAAGCCTGGGGGCTGGACCTGTGACACTCAGTCATTCAAATGTTAACATGGCTCAAAACTTTGATGTGTTGCTAATAGGTTGTGTGATTAACTAAATATTTTGTAATGGAAAATTCAAAAGTATGGAAAATAATGTGCTCAAACTATCATGACACACGGCAGTATAACACAAGTGAGTACTACTAATCTGAAAGTTTCAAATCCAAAATGGTCCAAAACATGAAAGTTCTACTAGTGGGAAATTCCACACTTGACTTCATGTGCTAGGTTGCAATCAAAAGGAAGACATACTACATGTATTATATGAAATTACCTTCAGGCTGTGTTTATAAGATGTATATGAGACAAATTATTTCATGTTTAAAGTTGGGTCAATTAACATGATATCTCATTATGTATATGCGAGTATTCAAAAATTTGAAAAACAATCCCAAATTTGCAGTACTTATAGTCCAAAACATTGTATAGAAAGAATAATTAACTGGTAACTCATAACGTTTTGACAATATTTTTGACATATACTCATCTTTCAAATTGTTGAGTTGTGGAGGTGTATTTTATAGCAAATTCCAAACTTCATATAATTTTATTCTTATATACTTGATGATCCATATTTAAACATGTAAAACTTTATAGCTGGGTGTGATGTTTTATGCATATAGTCTCCACACTTTAGGAAGTCTGAGGTGCAAGAATCTCTGTGAGTTTGAAGCCATCCCTGGCTACATAGTGAGTTCAAGGACAGCCTGGCCTATACAGCAATACCTTGTCTCAAAAAACAAAATGAAACATTTAAGAACTCACAATATTATGAGGTGAAAAGGACATAGGTACTTAGAATTCATACTGTCAGGACACTTGTAGTTTCTTCAGTCTTACCAGCTTTATTCTTATTCTCAAACTGAACATTCCTCATAGGGCTTTTCACTGCCCTTCAAGCACATTGCTATGTTTATTGCCTCTATATGCTTATGTAATTTCTTCTACTTGAAAGACTCTTCTTTTCCTCATTTTTCCTTGTCCATGAGCAGTCTATTCCTTGGGATGGTTTTAGCTCATTTTCACAAGATGTCTTTTCTCTAGATAACTCATGAATTGCTTTTTCTCAAGGGTAATATGATTTATAAATATAAGCCACGGCCAAGCTTATAGAAGAGTTATTTGGAGATAGTTTTGTCCCACTTTAGAGTTGTCATCAAATGAGGACAGTAAACCTTTTTTTGTTAAATTTGAATTTGTACAAATGCATAGCTGGGATTGAATATATATCTTGTCTGGTCACTGATAGAAATGAAATATTTTGTTCCCAGGTCATTTTTCTACTGGTATCCAACACTATCTCTCATGACCTCTTTGAGTGACATGGGAAAAGTGACTAGGAAGAAATCTTAACCTGATAAGCTCTTAGGTCATCTCTCAAGTATGATAATGTACCATTTTGTTCTTTCTAGGAGTGAATTCTGTCCCTTAATTTCCTCAAACCCATCTTCATATCTTTGTTCCTCAGGCTATAGATGAAAGGGTTCAGCATGGGAGTCACTACTGTGTACATAACTGTGGCGACCCGGTCCTTCACCACCGAGTACATGGACAGGGGCCTAAAATAGACATAGATGACACTGCCATAGAAGAGGGCCACTACAGTGAGGTGGGAGCCACAGGTGGAGAAGGCTTTCCACTTGCCAGCTGCAGAGGGGATGCTGAGCACAGTGATGATGATTCTCAGGTAGGAGAAGAGGATGCAAAGGAAGGGGGTCACGATGACAGCCAGGGTCTCAGTCATGACCACAATCTGGCTGGAGGATGTGTCAGAGCAGGACAGTTTTAACACAGGCTGGGTATCACAGAAGAAGTGTTTAATGACATGGGAGGCACAGAAAGAGAGGCGAGACATGAGTAGCACACGGAACAGAGCATGCAGGTGGGAGATGGTGCATGAACCCAACAGCATGAGGAGGCAGTGCCTTGGGCTCATAGCCACATCATAGTGGAAGGGGTTGCAGATGGCCACCAGCCGGTCAATGGCCATGGAGGCTAGCAGGTAGCTATCAGTGTTTGCTAAAGCCATGAAGAAGTACATCTGTGCCAGGCAACCCACATAGGAGATCGCCTTTGTCTCTGAGAGTAAATTCACCAGCATATTGGGCACAATGACTGTTGTGAAGCAGATATCCATGAAGGATAAGTTGCTGAGAAAGAAGTACATAGGGGTGTGGAGCCTGGAGTCAGAGCGGATGGCCAGGATGATGAGCACATTGCCTAGGATGGTGACCAGGTACATGAGGAGGAAGATGGCAAAGAGAGGTTTCTGCAGCCATGGGTCGGAAGAGAGGCCCAGGAGGATGAAGCCTGAGGTGCTACTGCTGTAGTTCTTGATTTTCAAGTCATGGAAGAGATGTAGAGGACAAATTTATCACAATAGCTTCTTCTCTACCTTCAAGTCTATGAAAAAGCACACTTCAATTTGTTAACATGTGTATAGATATACTCAGCTGAAGAAATTACATAGAGGCAAATAATAACAGTGAACATCGAACCTGTTAGAAATCTCCAGATTTTCTCTGAAAGGAGAATATGAAGGTTTTTCATTTGTTGTTAGAAATTTCTAATTTGTCTGCATTTTTATTTGCATCATTAGAGATGACTCTTCTTTTGTCTCTCAATAAACTCCCAGCTTTTTGTTTGTTTTAGAGGCATAAATGTAAAGTTTCTCTGTGGTCAGGATGATTTCATACCTGTGATCCCCATGAATGAGTTACTCTCCTTCAGGCTCTTCTTCCCTCACTTAGTTCTAGAGGGCTTCATGGTTCTTTAAGTATTTTTGTTTGAATAACAGGTTATGGATATTGCAATTACAAATTTTTGGTTCAAGCGGACAAACCTTTAATGGTATTTTAGGGGGTTCTTTGGCTCTATGCAATGTTTCTTAGTAGTCATAGCTTAGTTCCTTCCACAACATTTAGCCAGATCTGGTGCACTACATTTACCCAGGCCTTTGGAAAGTTGTCTCACTTCTCTATATCTGTTTTCTGTGTAGCTATCTATAAAATGGTGTGTGTGTGTGTGTGTGTTTGTCTCACTTCTATATCTCTGTTTTCTGTGTAGCTATCTATAAAATGGTGTGTGTGTGTGTGTGTGTGTGTGTGTGTGTGTGTGTATACTACTTTCTACTTACCCATGTCATTTAGAGACTCACATGACAGTTGCATAAGAGTTTGGCAATCACTTCTACAAGTAGTATTATGTAAGCTCCAGAAAATGATATTTTAATCATGGATCTTGTTATGAGTTAGTGGTTGGGAAGGACCAGATGAAGCTAGGAGTTTTATAAAACTTTTAAATCACATCACTCCATCTTAGGAGATATTTATCTCCTTATTGGATAGATTGGATATCCTTTTCAGCTTTTTCCATTGGAATTTTTGAATTCTGGACATTTGTCTTCTCAGGTTGATTGTCCTTTACTTGCTTACTCTCACTTATTCAGGGCCCTTTTCTGAGCCACTGGCCCACATGAAACTAGGGAGTTCAAATTGGCAGTTGGTAAATGTCTTCCTTGAAAAAGAGTTCAGCCTTCACTTATTGGACAGGTTCTTTGCTTACCACTTAATCTTTACAATAACAGTGTAATATAGGTACCGCTCCCCCCTTTTTAAGACAAGGAGATCAAAGTTCAGGACATCACAGAACTGGTGAGGGGTCTAAGACACAAATCCAGGCAATCCTAACTCCAAATTTTGTTTTAAACTACTTTCACAGCTCTTCCGCACACCACACAGACATGTGTACAGAATTAAGCTCGTGTCTCTGTGTAAGGGGGTATCCCCTGAGCCCATGTTCTTCAAGCCTCCTTGCTGACACACTCTTACTTCATCCCTTGCTCCCACACACCAGGCCCTTTCCATTTCCTTCCTTCCTACTCCCAATTCTGCCTCCCACTCCACAAAGCTATTTGTTCTCCTCTCTTCTTCTTTTGAGGGAGGAAAGGATGTGGGGGATTTTAATTAGCTCTGTTGGGTGCTGAACAAATAATAGCTCTCTGATTGAGCAGCAGCAGTACCTACCCACATGGTCTGTCCTGGGCCCTGGTTTGTAGAAATCTATCAGTCCAATCTCCTTAATGAAAATAGATGCAAAAATCCTCAATAAGATACTGGCAAACAATACATAGAGTCATCAAGAAGTTTACACACCCTAGCCAAGTCAGATTTATGCTAGGGATGTAAGGATGGCTCAATATATGTAAAATAAATAAATGTAATATGCTATATTAACAGAGTCAAGGACAAAAACCATGTGATCATCTCAATAGATGCAGAAGAAGCATTTGAAAAATTCAACACCCATTCATGCTAAAACACTGCAGAAAAATTGAAATAGATGGTATTTATCTAAATTTGATAAGGCTATCTATGAAAAGTCAACAGCCAACATCATACTAAATGGTCAAAAACTAAAAACCTTCATTCTAAAATCAAGAACAAGATAAGGATGTCCAGTATTACCACTCCTATTCAATGGTTTTGGAAACATTAGCCACATCAATTAGACAAGAGAAAGAAATAAAAGCAATAAAGATAGTGAATGCTGATGGTATGATATTCTACATAGAAGACCCAAAGAACTCCACCAAAGCACTTCTAGACTTGATTGTCAATTCAGTAGAGTAGCTGGATACAAGGTAAATACTAAAAAATTAATAGCCTTCTTGTACACAAATAACAGTATTACTGATAGTCAAATTAGGGAAACAATGTCTTTCAAAATAGCATAAAAAAAGAAATATCTAGGAATCAATCTAACAAAGAAAAAAAAAGACCTCTATACTGAGAACTACAACATTCTGAAAAAACAAATTGAAGAGAATATAAGAAAATGGAAGAACATCCCTTGTTCCTGGGTAGGAAGAATTGATATAGTGAAAATGGCCACAGTTCCAAAACTGCTATACAGATTCAATGCAATCCCTATTGAAATCTCAACAGTATATTTCGTAGAACTTGAGAAAACAACCCAAAAATTAATTTGGAATCAGAAAAGACCAGAATAGCACAAGCAATTCTAGGCAACAGAGACATGGTAGGGGTATCACAACCCCCAATTTGAAGCTATACTATAAAGCTGCTGTGATAAAACAGCATCTTAATCACAAAGAAACAGACCCAAGGATCAGTGGAACAGATTAGAAAATGCAGAAGCATCTCCTGACATACTCAACTACCTCATCTTTGATAGAAGAGCCAAACACGCTCACTGGAGGAAAGACAGTCTTTTTAATAAATTGTGTTGGAAAAACTGGATTTCAACTTGTCAAAGATTAAAACTAGATCCTTATCTTTAAGACATCATGCACCAAACTAAAATTCAAGTGGATTAAAGATATAAATATTAAAACAGAAACAGTAAACTTGCTGGAAGATGTGGGGCAGAACTCTTAAAGACTTTGGCATAGGAAATGACTTCATGAACAAATCATCAGTAGCATAGGAACTAGCACAACAAATAAGTAACTGGGATCTCATCTTATTAAAAAGCTTCTGCACTCCAAGAGAAACCACCAACTGAGCTAAGAGACAACCTACAATGTGGGAAAAAATTTTTATTAGCTATCGTTCAGACAAAGGACTATTACCTAGAATATATGAAGAACTAAAAAAAATCAGATTCCCCCAAATATAAAGACCTGATTAAAAAATGGGCACCTGAAATGAACAGATCTTTCTTTTTTTTTAATTTTATTGAGTTTATTGGTACATTTTAGGGATACAGTACAGTTACATTCATTGTTGGGATAATGTACCTCTACATGGCAAGTCTTGATTCTCATTTTTTCCCCTTACCTCTGCCCTCCCTTCACCCCCCCCTCCCCTCCCCATCTACAAACACTTTATTTTCATCTTTTCATTCTCTCACATTTTTTTCTTTTCCCTTTTTGTTCTTCCCCTACGCATCACACCTTCCCTACACCTTTAGCTCCTTTCTTCAAATTTCTAAATGTCAGTAATCTTATTAGAATCTTATGCATTGTTGCAGAATATTCACACCAGGGAAACTATTTGGTATTTACACATGTGTGACTTATTTATTTCACTTAGGAGTATATCTTCAATATGTATCCATTTTCCTATGAAT